CTTAGGTAGCACTGACCACTCTCCACCTTGGATAGCTAGACCACCTTGGATGCTGACCATGGCTGATTTAAGCAACTTGTCTGGCCCCTTCCTCTCACCATCCTAGGTGTGTTTCTCCCAAAGATGCACACTGACCAAAAAGTAAATCTTCCGAGACAGTAGGAGGCACTCTTTTATTAAGGATTTACACATGGCTGAATTCCTCTTTCAAAATCCACAAACACTCTGCCCAGTGACTTAGATAGTCCTAGCTATGTTCCCCACTATTGAGTATACTCTTTGTGGAAATGGATCACGTCTGATTCATTTGGACCTTCTACTGCATACAACAGCATCTCTGAATGTAGTTAAATAAACATTAACTGAATTCAATTAAGAACATCTTCTCTATTATTTATTTTGAAGCAGTATGATAGAATATAGAAACATATATATATATATATGTAAATCCTCAAATTTGGAAAAACATTTTACTCTGCTGTTCTCCACCTACCTTCCAAATTTTCCATTTGTTAGTCACTTCCCAATGTCTTAAATGAATTCTCTAATATATCTACCTCCAAGTCATGGCTAAAAGCTTGCCACCCATTGGCCAGGTGTGGTGGCTCACGCCTGTAATCCCAGCACTTTGGGAGGCCAAGGCGGGTGGATCACCTGAGGTCAGAAGTTCAAGACCAGCCTGGCCAACATGGTGAAACCCTGTCTCTACTAAATACATAAAAATTAGTCAGGCGTGGTGGCAGGCACCTGTAATCCCAGCTACTCAGGAGGCTGAGGCAGGAGAATTGCTTGAACCCAGGAGGCAGAGGTTGCAGTGAGCCGAGATCGCGCCACTGCGCTTCAGCCTGGCAACAAGAGCAAAACTTCATTCAAAAAAAAAAAAAACACTTGCCACTCATGATCTACACATTATAAACTAGAGTTTTTACTGTCATCTATGAACAGGTCACAGACACAATCACTTTTCTCCTTGTTTTCTTCCTCATGGTTTTTTATGTCTATAGAATTTAACATTGGTGTCAGAAGAATTTCAACAGAAGAGTTTAATTGTTCAATATTACATAAATTATTAAGTGGCTACAGCAAGGTTATTATGGGCCCAGGTAGTATTGGCTCAAAAGTCAGAAAGCTCTTAACCACTGCTGCATTGTCCCCTATAGCTCACTATACACCAGCTTTTAAATACACTATGGTTCATTGGTTAACTTACTTGATGGAAAGGCTATTAAAATTATAAAACATCTGATTCAGCAAGCTGGCTACAGAAAGACAGTGAGGCAGTGTGGCATACCAATAAGAGCTTGTATTCGGAATCAACATTCCTGGGTCCAAGTCCCATCTCAAACTATTTAATAACTGTATGACCCTGGGTAATTTACTTGACTTCTCTGTGCCTCACAATCCTCAGATATAGAGTGAGAATAACAGGATACCTTCTCATAGGGTACTATGATGATAAAATAAGATACTGAATGTAAAATACTGAAAATTTTCCCAACACATATAAATCTTAGCTCTTCTTACTATTATTATTATTACATTGTCCTGAATCATAGATGACAATAAAAAGGTACATGTTGAATAATGAATTTGGACTTTGCATCCAGACTGTGAGCTGTAAATCCCATATCCCATTAAAAGTAACCAAGACTCTAGAGAAAGGCTGATTCCAGGTATGGACAGGAAATGCATTAAATGATCCTGGGACGTGGTATTGTTCCTAAAACCAAGGAAGCTCTCAAAACCTCATGGCTCATAACAAATGGAGACAGACTCCACGTGGAAGAGGTTCCAACTGGTTGGAGGTGAAACAGTATGAACATAAGAAGGAGAATGATGACATCGTATTGAAAAACACATAATACATAAAAACATCATTAAGTAATTTCACAACGATACTCTCCCAAAAAACAACCACTACTACATCCTATAAGGGTTGCTAAGGCATCAGCTTATTATTCTGAAAACTTACAAATAAAGGCAAATACTCAAACATTTGTCATGTATTTGTTAGGATGAAGGAAAGGTCTCTTCTAAAAATCATAGCTAAAATGAGTGAAAATTGGAAAACGACTCCTTGGCAACCCCTAATGCAATAATAGACTTTGTCAAAAATCTTTGATAGATAACAAGGGATGGCAGGCTGATGGTGAACTTTATGACAGATGGATTAGGATGACAGTTCCTGAACCCACTGATTGATCTGAGCATCACTGAGAGTGAAATGGCTGATATCTGCTTCCTGTGATGGCAATATGATAGAAATACAAAGCACTGCCAGTGTATCCCTTTTACCAAAAAAAAAACCTAAATATAATTGAGTCTTTGTGTCTAAATATTAGTTTACAAGAAATATGGGCAACAAGAGAAATAATTTGGAAACATGGTAAGAATCAGACAAAATCAAAATATGGGAAATCCTATGGGTAAAGTAACCCAATTTCATCAACGAGTAAGTGGCCTGAGAAATAAGAAGGGGTATTGTTCTAAATTAAGGGAGACTTAAGAACTATGTCAACAAAGGGCAGTTGTGAACTTTGAATCTTGACTTGAAAAACAGTAAAAAAAGATATATTTTAGACAACAGGAAAAAACTTTAAGGGACTATTAACATGACTGAGACAGTGGCATTTGGGGTTTTTTTTAGTGCTATCTTTTACAGAAGCATAATGAAGTGTTCAGAGACTAAGTGGTATGCTGTATGAGATTTGTTTTAAAATACTCTAGTTAAAGAAAAAGGAGGGGGCTTCCACTTCCACTTCCAGGAAGATGGGGTACACGGGGTGAGGCCAGAAGGAAATGGATGATGTGGCTCTTGACAAGGGACCACCAGGGATTCTTGTGGGGACAGAATGTTCTGTATCTTGACTGAATCAAGGTCAATATCCTGGTTGTGATTTTGTACTATAATCCTGCAAGATGTTACCATGAAGGGAAATTTTGGAAGGGTGCAAGTGATTCCTCTGTATTGCTTCTCACAGCTGCATGTGAATCCCAAAAGCAAAAGGTAATTGATAAAATGAAAACATGACGTGGCAGGAGACAAATGAAAAAGAATGGCAGAAAAGTTTATGGCTAGAGGATTCATTATAATCTTTTTCTTTCTTCATTTGCTTGAAAATTTCCATTAAAAAAGGGTTTCTTAAGGTTTAGAAAAGTAAACTTTGCAATTTCCCTACAAACTGGTATTATCTCCTGATTTTCCTAACTGGTGTGTCCGCAGACTTCCAAATTCCCACACCACTAGGCTATTCTACACACTCTTGCTACTTGTTTCTTTCTAAAATACTATATATATAGTATATATAAAATATATACTATATATAGTGTGTGTATATATATAAAACTTACTCTATCACTCCTCGCTTAAAAGGAACTCTGCTACTTCAGCATAAAGTTCACGGTTATTAAAAATAAAAAAAAAAACCCTCCACAGTCAGGCCTGAGCAATTGTGTGTTCATCTCCCACACACCCTCTGCATAAACCCTGTACTTTGGTCAAACTAGACTCACAGTTCCACAGATATAATTTTGGACACAGTACTTGTGCCTGTGTGCCATTCTCCTGCCTGCTACTCACTCTCTACTCCACAGACCTAAATCTCACCCATTTTTACAAAGCAGAACAAAACCTATCTTCTTCATGAAGTTTCCCCTTCAAAACAAGATTCTCAAGAGTAAGGATCATGTATTTTATCGCAATGCCTACTAAACTAGCCTTCCTGATACAATCGAGGTTTTCAATGGAAGGATGTGGATTTCACTGAATGAATGTTTAATGTAAAGACTTGGAGAGATTACCAAATTTTAGAAAAAAATTTAAAAGAAGAAATGTTAAAGAGATTTAAAAATAAAAACTGGAATTTAGTACACTTGAATTTCAAATAGCAATACTACATTTAATTTGTTTTATCACCTTGGGCAACTCATTTAACATATCTTGGCATTTGGTTCTAAAATATAAAATGAAGCACTAGGCTCCTCATTTTTTAATATGTAGATACTATACTTGCCTCTGGAAATAAATATCCCAAGGGCTTCCATACACTATAATTTTATTCCTAAACATTACTCATCAACAGAGTCTAAACTTTATATAAAATACACAAAGCAAAACAGTATCCCAGATCCACCAGTTTTTAAATAAACCTGAGTCAACAAGAATGAATTACGTGATGAGTTGGGAGACCACAGGAAGTAGGGCTACCATGTCATTTAAAGGTATTGCATTTGATAAGACTTCCTAAAGTACCTGCACCCTAAGGGAGGTACAGTCTTTCTTCCCATAGCATTAAAAATCTGCCATCCCATAACTTGAAGCTAACTGTCAAGGATGTATAGTACAAAGGCAGAAACATTTTATTTCAAAGATTATGATCTTGTCAAGAAACCACTAAGTTGTCCCTGAATACTGAGGTGGAGACTCACAAGGACAGGAAGTGCACTGGGGAGAACACAGAATGAGATTAGATATTAAGAGAATAAATTCTACTTTGCCTTAAGAAAAAAAAATGTCGTGCTCTAAGCAGGCCTGTGTATTCAGGAAGGTCATGACTCATGGTCTGCCTTCCAGGTTGGAAGTGGCAGGAATATTAACCAAACCATGAAGCCTGCACAGTTTGCCCTCATATTGACCCTCTGGGGATGCCCAGGCTGGAAGAGAACAGAGTTGTATAAGCATCAGCTGTACCCACCACTAGTACTCAGTGAAACTTGGAAGAGCACCTATCAAAGAGAACATCATTAGCACATGAATGAGGAGGCAACATTTCTGCTCTAGAACTTTGAATTCATTAGGATGCGGAGGTTGATTCCATGAGAGAGCCCAACACGGGGAAAGAGATGGGCCAATGGGATGAACTGTGGAAGCTAAGCACAGGGCCTTGGGGATAGTGAACAAAGGTCATAGGAACCCAAAGACTAGTCTGGGGAGAAAAGCACAAAGCAGCAGTTCATTTTTCTCTGCACTGGCCCAGCAGCACCAGAGTCCTGGCAGTTACCTGAGGTTTCTTCACCTTAATGATCCAAGTGGGTGGGACAATAACAGCAGCATGAGCCCCCAGGGAACAGGGTTCTTCAATGTGATGCAGCATGAAGCAGGTCACCTTATTGTGAAACTAAAGAGAAAAATAGGCCAGTAAACAATTCTGGTCAAAGAGTAATGCTGCGGCAAGAAGGGATAAATATGTACACGCACACACACACACACTCATTACATGCACAAAAATACATATGCATGCACACATGCACACACAGACACACACTGAGGACATGCTTTCCTCATCACAACCCAGCCAGCCCCAGGAGCTTAGAAACCAGATTTCAAATTTATTCCGGTTTACAAACTTATAACATTGATAACAAGAAATCAGTCTAGCCGGATGAAGCCCGCTAAAACTTTCTAATTGTTGCATGGAATATTTACATAAAAGTTTTAGAGTCTTGGAGGGTTCTATTAATCCTGATTTTGCACAAAATTTTCACACACACTTCCCTTGACCTGTACTGGCCATGGACTTGGTTGATTTAAGATAACGTTGAGAAGGAAATGAACAGACAGAAAGGCAATGCCTACCACCTGCCTTTCCTTTCCCTATCATAGTTATAAACCCTCCCAGGTTGTCTTTCCAGTTTAGAGAGGGCAGGAAAGAAGCATGATGTCTGTTCTACAGAGTTGAAAATCCCAGAAGTAACAAAGTACAAAGAGATCGTTTCTATTGGGTTTGTCTGGGACTGCTAAAAAATATACAATGACCCTATTACTCTTGGCAAGTCTAAAGTGATTTTTGCTTTTGAAAGGAAGTAAATGTAGGCTAATGCTCGAAACAATACCACAGTATAAGGGTCTTAATTCTATACCCCAACAGTGACACTCAGACTGGTGACCTTAGGTCAGTCAAGTTTTCAACCATCTTTTGTGTGACTATAATGTGATAGTGGTGTGTAGTAACATTTATTTTTCTGAAAAAGAAAACTAAAATCAACATTATGCAATAATTATAGGCCTTAAATTTTAATCATAGTGATTTTAAAAATTTAACCTCAGTTTCTTCTTAGATTAGACTTCACCTAACTACATAATTTAGCATTTTAACTGCAACAATGTTAAAAGTAAAAAGTATCACTGATAATAATTATGCTGAAAACACAAACACAAATTAGGACCGTCTCCAAAAAAATCTGGCAAATATGGTCACTCTAATTACATTACATAACATTAGAGAGGTTTTTGTTTTCATGTCTTCATGTCTTCAAGATCTGCTATGATCCTGTGGCTAATTACTAATCAAGCAGTTGTGTATAAAATACTGATAAAATAATTAATAATTCTGTCTGCCACCAGTTATTTATGATCTGCAAACAAATATACCAGAGAAATATTATTAACATTTGAATACCTTCTTTAAAAACTGCTTTTTCTTCTTGGCAATTCAAATAAACCCTCAAATGTATGACCACTGCATTTCTAAAATGTTAGGGATCGCAGAGACTGCCTATGTCAAGTCTCTCAATGAATACTTGAGTAATCTCCACTCTAGAGACTCAGAGGTACATCCCAGATTGCACAGTTTTTAAATGATGGAATCAAAACCGCATCCCTGGAAATCCAGGTCCCAAACCCCATATTCTTTCTCCTGTACCATAAAGGGTCACATATTTATTTGCTTGTCTGACATCAAATATCCTAGAAGGGGTTCACCTGGACTGTGAAAACATATCACCACTGTAATTTGTGTTCAAATCTTTTGTGTCTATCGTCCCTACGAAAATCGCCCTCTACAATGTGGGAAACTGGGAAATTCAAAGATACGTGGAACTGACCAAAGCTCTACCACAATGGTCAGGTGAAAGTTGTCCTTTGTAGTGATTCAGTTGGACTACAGATTAATAGAAAGAGAGCACACATGTTCATTGTAAAGTGAGATTGAGTTTCCAAATTAACTGAATCTGGATAGACCATCTCACTACAGCCTGGTAGCTGCACAGGGCAGGAGCAGATGCAGCCGATCTGAGCACACTGCTGCCCAGAAGGCTGCCCCACCAGTGGAGTCTCACCAGATCAGAAGAACCAGGAGCAAAGATAGCAGCACTGGGAACCCCTGGATCGCAAATGGAGATAATGCCTTGCTGGTAAAGTTTCATTCAAGGTCTAGGATGGCCTTATAGTTGTGCACACATTCTTGAACAGATGTACAATGATTATTTATGCAACAACTAACTGAAAGTGAAAGAAAATGCCAGGAATAAAAAATGTTGCAGGATTGTGACGCAGTGACACTGAGCTTTCCAGACCACTGAGTCTCTATCTAGTGACGGCAGGTTCTTCTGACATGTACGGGCTAGAGATATTATTAGTTTGAACTATATGGAACTGCCAAAATTTAAATGGTTTTGACCCACAATAAGTCAATTTCATATGTTTCAACAAAATACGTCTGTTCCAGCCCCATGGCCTGTGTTTAGCATGATGTGTGTAGTGGCATGGGTTTTCTGCAATCCTTTAACCTCACCAAGACACCACAGCCTTTCCTTTGCAGGTCCCCCGTGCAATGAAGGGGTTATATATTCCAACTTATTCAAAAGAATAGGGAGATTGAGAAATTACAGCAGGCATCAGCAAACTTTTTCTATAAAGGCACAGGGAGTAAATATTTTAGGTTTATGGGACCATCCACCTCTGTTGCAATTACTCAGATTTGCCATTGTAGCACAAAAGTATCTATAGACAACACATAAATGAAAAAGCAGCCACAGACAATATATAAATAACTGGGCATGGCTGCATTCCAATGAAATTTTATTTACAAAAATAGATGGCAGCCAGACTTGGCCTATGAGCTGCAGTCTGCCAACACCTGGGTTAGACTATATGTTATCTGGTAAAAGAAAGAACAGGTGCACAGGTACACGGTTACAAACAAATAAGAAAATGTAGCATCTGGTACAGACAGAGGAATTAGGCTCTAAATAAAGTGGGGGAAAAGGTAGATTGAAGAAAAGTAAATAGGGACGTTACCATCAGATCCTAATGAATATATATGTTAAAATGTAAGAAAGAGCTACATTTCAGTGAGCATACAGACAACATCCAAACCTAAAAAAGCATACAAGAACCACTCTTCTTATCCTCACACTTAGCCCCAAAATAAAAAGTCATGCACTTTAAACATTAAAACCAGAAGAGCCAGGATTCGTGTCCACCCATGTTGGAGGGACCTCGTATGTCGTACGTTGCTTTGCTTCTAATGTTGCACCTTCCTATATAGGAGAAGTTCTCAACAATATAGAGGCACTGGGGGGAAAATGTGGAGTAAGAAGTCCTCAATTCTAGTCCCAGTGTTAGAATTAGGGGAGGATTTTCTAGTCTTTGACCCCAAGCTTCAATGTATATAAAATACAGAAGTTAATTTATCTCTCTAGTGTATCCCAGTTCATCTATGCTATTGTTCTATAGTTTCAATCTGTCTTTCTTCCTCCAAGGATCTTATATGAGAAAAGCAATACATTAAATTAGGAATGCCTTCTACTTCCAAGGAGGAACTCAAATAATGACATAAGTGTATTCCGACAAAACATGAGCCCACATTGCTTTATTTCATCCCAAACTTACCGCCTGCTTGCACCAGGAACAGCTGATAGCCACAATCTCTTTACTGTGGAAGGAGAACTTTTGCTGGAAGCCCTGGGATATTAGGACAAGAGACAGAGAATTTAAAACCAACTCAGTTACAGCACACATTTGCCCTCCTGAAGTGCAATGACGTGAATAAGGCCAGAACTGTCACCCACCACTGGAGGGGAAGTAGAACTGCAAATGCCACATTGAGCACCACACTCTCCACTTTCTGCCTGCGATGATTTTCTATTCCCGAAGCATTTTGAGTGAGAGAGAGAGGAGGTGCTGGTATTTCCTAGCCCACTACTACTCAAAGTCAAACACACAAAACGAAGTTTTTGAAAAAATAAATATAGTTCTGATATATTATTATTACAACCAAAGGAAAAGCCACTATTGGTTCACATGGTCTTGTATAACAAAAATCATTCATGTTAGAGGCTCTATACACCTTTAGCGTCTGAGAACCCAGAAAAAAAAATGAAATTTCAGAGACAATAACTGGAACTCAGGGTCTTGGAGAAGTCCAAGGGTGTAGTAGTAAATTCAGACATTTTCATAAGCCCCTTGAGATGTCTCTACTCAAAACAAGCAGCTTTTAATTTTTATTCTTTACCAGGAAGCAATGATGAAATCAATGAAATGGTAAACCCAATCCTCTTAAAGGAACAAACTGAATTACTTTTCCATCAAGAAGAGGTGATTTTCGGCTGCTGCTGTCCCTAAATAATGGCCGGAGACAAATAAGTAGTATTACACAAAGAATTTTTTTAGCCTTCCCAAAGCTCATCCATTTCCCTCTGCCTGTGAAATCTAAACTCAAACAAAAAATGCAAAGCCACAATAAAAAATGTTAAAACAAAGCTTTTGTAAGATGATCCAAAGAAAATAGAAAGATGTGATAGGCAGGAAAGCTATTCAAGGCACTGGCTAAATAAGTCTGACTTAAAGTGTACAGATAATTTTAAGTTGAAAATCCATTACAACATTATTAAATGATGTCCCAATGGCATTCTTCAGTGCCCATAATCCCTGCCCATCTGCAGTACTTTATATACTACCAAGCATTTCCTCCTTTTGAACCTCTCTCCTCTCTTGATTTCCTAATACACCGTCCCAGTTCGCTTCTACCTCTCCAGTCTTCTGTATGTGGACAGACGACCAGGACGGGTTTCACTACTTTTGCTCCAACCTCAACTACCACTTCCAGAGACATGACCTTAAGATCAGACTCTCCTGGGTTTTGAAAATTGTATCCATCAATATCTCCTTCTCAAAAACCTAAGTGGTATTATCACTCCCTGTGCAGAAAAGAGTTAACATAGCAAATCAGACTTCTTAGAAAGGCTGCTTGCAGCTGGGTGTGGTGGCTCATGCCTGTAATTCCAGCACTTTGGAAGGCTGAGGCAGGTGGATCGCCTGAGGTCAGGAGTTCAAGACCAGCCTGGCCAACATGGGGAAACCTCGTCACTACTAAAAATAGAAAAGTTAGCTGGGCTTGGTGGCAGGCGCCTGTAATCCTAGCTACTTAGAAGGCTGAGTCAGGAGAATTGCTTGAACCCAAGAGTTGGAAGTGGCAGTGAGCCGAAATCGTGCTACTGCCCTCCAGCCTGGGTGACAGAGCAAGACTCCATCTCAAAAAATAATAATAATAAAATAAAAAATTTTAAAAAAGTAAAGAAAGGCTGCTTGCAAGGTTGGCCCTTGGTTGGCATCTGGGAACTTGGATTTCAGGAAGGTTTCTCCAATTGTCAGCACAGTTAAGAGTGTCTCATTGGGCCTAAACTGTTTGCACAGGCAGGGCATGGTGGCTCACACCTGTAATTCCAGCACTTTAGGATGCTGAAGTAGGTAGATCGCTTGAGCCCAGGAGTTTGTGACTGGCCTAGGCAACACAGTAAGACCTTGTCTCTAGATTAAAATTTTTTTAAAAAAAGAAAAGAAACTTTTTGTGCAAACAATTGTAGTTTATGCTGAATATCTTCTGTCCTTCTGGAAGTCTGGAATTTTATTATGTGCAATGCAGAGGGTGCTTATGTAAAAAGGCCTCAATAAAAACCCTGGACACTGAGTCCAATATTCCTTCCACATGTGTTTCAATTAGGCACATCCTGTGTGATTCCCCTGGGAGAGAACTCTTGGAAGCTTGTGCCTGGCCTCCTCCAGACTTTGTGCCATGAGCCCTTCCCTTTGTTGATTTTATTTTGTATTCTTGTGTTGTAATAAACCATAGATGTTAGCACTACAGACTGAGTCCTGTGAGTCCTCCTAGTGAATCACTGAACCTGGGGCGGTCCTGAGGACCCCTGATATGCTCCTCTCCTCCCAGATAGCGACTCTTGCTATTTCTTCTTCTGTCAATGACAGTATCTTTTCCCAAGAAAAAAAAAAGTGCTTTTGACACACACACACACATACACACACACACACACACACACAAACTTAAGTGCTGCAGTTTGATGTCCGTGTGTTTACTACTATAGGGCCAGCAACAGCCCCCACAGTCCCCAACACCTGAGAGTTGCAACTGCCTAAAGAGAACAACTTACAAGAAGACACAGAGTGTAGAGGGCCAAAGGGTTGGGTACGCAGGTCTTTTCAAAGATGATGCTAAACTGTTCAATACGAAATAAGATAGCACCAAAACTGCAGAAATGACTTCACATTGCAGCCATTTGAAAAGCTCCTCGTCATCCCCCAAGCCATTTTTCAGGAAGCAAAAAAAGGCTACAGCGACACTTTGTGGCTACTGTGTGAAGAAAGAAGACAGCCGCAGAAGCCGGGGTGAGACCTGAGTGCCTCTGTCCAGCCTGGTATCACGCTCTGCTGATGGTCACCTCCCATCCAGATTTTTGCTCCATTTTCTAACTTGTCCCTCCACTGATAGTCTGTTGTTCCCTTTATTCCACACTCTATCCTGGACACTGCCACCAGGTAAAATGATGCTTTCTAAGTTTCTGCCTCCCATTCAAAATACTTGAATGACACTTCTTTCCTTACAGATTAGCAGAATAAGCTCTTCATGCAGGTATTCAGGGCCACTCATAATCTTCCCATCAATTTTCTGACATCTATCTTCCACTCCTTTGTATTATAAACTCCTGTCCAGAGTGAGATAGGTCTACTCATATCCACAATATGTTTTATTCTTTTATTATTCTATTTCTTTATATATGGCTGTTTCTTCATTCCCAACATACCATCTAGAAACCTACCCCCATTTCATATACAGTATCTAAATTTGGCTCCCACTAAAAAATCTACAAGAGTCTCCCAAAATCACCTCAACTCACTGTGATCTCTCCTCCTACAGACTTGCCTTGCCTCGTACCTACCCTTGCCATTATAAATAGCTTCCCTATGTGGCTGGTTATTTTGTATACACATGTATTATCTCTCCAATGGAACTGTAAGTTCTTTGAAGGCAGTCAGTCCTTGTATAGTTCTTAGCAACTTGGCATAGTTCTTTGAACATCATAGGCATGCCATGATATTTTCTGATTAATTGAACAAAAAAGTTTGCTGCTATTCCATCATGATCTAATTACCAACTTCATGCTATCCAGACATTATAAGCCTTACCCAAACCACCTGAAAATATATTTCCTCACAGCATCCTTCCAGGCGAAAAAAAGTAACCCCTACAGACACTGCAAAGACAGTAGGATTCTAATGTTCATTTTTAAGTCCACAATATTAAAATGCTGCATGGATAAAAATCAGTACACTAGAATTTGTGGCACGACAGCAGTAGTAGCCACAACTAGAGGTCTGCTAAATGTTACGGTTTTAAATTTATCATTATAAGTCTTAAATGCAATCACCAGGCCACCATTCTCTCCACTTAGATATCAGATGGCTGTGCATCAAACAAAAGCTGAGGAGAGATGGCAAAGCTTAGAATCATTCTTGGATCTTCTTGTTGGCTGAGTGATCTTAGGCAAATCACTTAACTCTTCTAACTTCCTCTTTCATGTGAAAATGAGAATGATAATAGAAACCTCTCCTATAACACTAAGTGGTTATAAGCATCAAATAAGGCCATGCATTTAAAAATCTTTGTAACACTTTACTTATGTATGCATTTAATGTGTGTTTATATAAAATTAAGGAGTGCTTTTATTGCTAAGATCTATGAACAGGAACCTCTTCCACCATCTCGCTGAGAAAGCTTTCTGGTGTCTAATATGTGACTAAGTGATGCTCTACTCAATGATACAGGGTGAGTGTATCTAGCCCCACCTCACCACTAAATATTAGCCGTCTGGTTTCTGGGAGAGAACAGATACAATCCATTGTGGTACTGACAGCTAGACCGACACCAGCAACAAACAATAAGGCCAATCACAATTGGGGCACTGGGCACTACACTTATGCAGTATTGTGGCAGGACCCTTGGCAATGAGCCCAGTGGTAATCAACTCTGTGCTTTGTTTTAGATTCTTGTCTGGCAGACTCACAGCAACCATAGCTTCAGGCTTATCATCTAACACAGAGATATAAATAGAAGCACATCAGAGCCTTCACGAACCAAGTTCCCATTAAACCACCTGCTATGGGAAGACTTTGGCCAGGCTCTCAGCATGCCAAAATGAACCAGATTCCAAATTGCTCATTTTTAAATGTTGGCCCAAATCTGCTATTATGGTACTGACAGATGCCCTGACTGAATTTCAACTGACTCTATGATTTTTAAGAGCTGTTTAGTTCAGCACTGTCAAAGAGGAAAATAGGGATGGGAGGTCAGATGCTTTGGATCCAACTGACTTCAGAATTGAAAATACCAAGAACATTGAGGAATTAGGTCTTTTTTTGTTCTTTGGGATTTTTCAATCAAACTTAACCTTTGGAATAAAGTTTAAACCAGATTTATTGAGTACTAAACTTTGTTGCCTTCTGACTACTTCTGCCATCTAAGGCAGGTACCAAATGGCACTCAGTTTTACAGCCTTGGCTGAAACCAGAAAAAAAGGGCTTGACTTAAAACAAGCTGAATTTATTTCATTATTTCTGTATTTAACTTTGTTTGGGGTGAGAGAATATTCTGACCATAGACTGATTCCCTA